GGGAACTTCTTCGATCTCGACTAACAAACCTGTTGGTCTAGGATAGCTATCGACTCCTCCTCATAGGTCAGATCCTTGTCCAACTGGATAGTGCTGAAGTCTAACACGTGGGATGGATTATCGTAGCTGATACGGGTCTAGGCCAGTCCTTGACTTCCTCTATCTTCTTCGGATCTACTTGAATACCCTCTGATGATACAACATAACCTAAGAACGCAACCGAACTCAACCAAAACTCACACTTCGAAAACTTAGCATACAACTGACTATCCCTTAGAGTCTGAAGAACGACTCAAAGATGCTGCTCGTGCTCCTCCTGGCTGCGGTAGTAAATCAAAATATCATCAATGAAGACAATCACAAAAGAATCTAAATAAGGCTTGAACACTTGGTTTATCAAGTCCATGAAAGTTGCTGGGGCATTTGTCAACCTGAATGACATTACTAAGAACTCATAATGCCTGTACCGAGTGCAAAAAGCTGTCCTAGGGACATTAGATGCCCTGATCCTCAACTGATGGCAGCCAAATCCCAAATCTATCTTAGAAAACACTTGAGCACCCTGAATCTGATCAAACAAATCATCAATCTTCGGCAATGGATACTTGTTCTTGATGGTGACTTTGTTCAACTACTGATAATCTATACACATCCTCATCGACCCATACTTCTTTTTAACAAACAACACCGGCGCACCCCAAAGCGAGACACTAGGTCTAATAAAGCCTTTATCCAATAAGTCCTGCAACTGTTCTTTTAATTTTTTCAACTCTGGAGGGGCCATATGATATTGCGGAATAGAAATGGGCTGAGTTCCTGGAGCCAAATCAATGCAAAAGTCAATATCCCTATCGGGTGGCATCCCCGGCAGGTCTGAAGGAAATACCTCTGGAAACTCACGAACAACGGGCACAAAATCCATAGAAGGAACCTCAGCACTGGAATCACGAACATACGCCAAATAGGCCAAACATCGCTTACCAACCATACGCCGAGCCTTCATTTATGAGATAACCCTGCTAGTAGAATGACCAAGGGTCCCTCTCCACTCCAAACGAGGCAACCCCGGTAATGCTAAGGTCATTGTCTTGGCATGACAATCCAATATAGCATGATATGGGGATAATCAATCCATCCCTAGAATGATATCAAAATCCAACATGTCGAGAAGTAGGAGATCTACCTGGGTCTCAAGACCCCCAATAACAACAATGCAAGCACGATAAACACGATCTGAGTTTCATGTTGCCTAGTTGGGAAGTGAAGTAGATTTGACATTGCGATATGAGTTTAGACTTAGGAAGATTAAGTGACTACGTAATATTTATGATGGTGGAAGAGCATAAAGAGATGTTAGATTTGAGGCGAAACATGTGGGTTATCTCTTGTGGAGTGTTCTAAAGTTGTGTGATCCTTATGGTGTTTGTTGGAAGATCTCTTTTACTAGTGAAATATTTGTTGCAATTTGAATTTGGGTCGCTTAAGAGAGTGGGCTTGACTGTTACGAGGGTCAATGCGAGATTTGTAGAAGATTTGAAGTACTAGATGGTCTGTGTTGCACGAGCTTATGAAGGATTGAGTTTAATCTCACGATGGTATTTTGGCAGTAATAGAGTATATGCATTATGAGTTATTGTATGTTTTGATCTACGGCTTTGAGCCAAGTGGGGAGTCTGCTATTGATTAGTTGATTGCACGGTTATGTGCTATGTTGGTTCCAGTTTGAGGCATACTGGTGGAACAGTTATAGCTTACGGAGGTTGAGATCGAGGATGGCTCGAGTAAAGAAAATCTCAATAAAGGTTATGTTAGGTTTTATGGGTGTATAAGAATCACAGAATTACTTAAACTATTATTGGTAAAGGATGTACGGTGCATAGAATAGGAAGTTGCTTGGTTACATTAAGGTGAGGATACATTCTACGGTATCGGAGTGCTAATGAGCACTGGTCGTCTGGTCCTTTTGAACGGTCTAATTGTGGTTTGAGTAGAGTGTATGACTCTCGAGAATGGTTCTAATGGGTTCAAGATTTTACATGTAATAATTGGATATTTTCAGGGTGTATATTTGGCCAGAAACTGAGGTTTGCAATGGGGGGTGTCAAGACTCATGGTATTTTTATATCATTATGGATTCTACACATCAGTATCGGGAAGGTGAAGGTAATGACTTTAGATTCGCATGAAGTCTCTTCAGGGAAAGTATTTCGAATATGGTGCTTTTGAGGATATTTGAGAGAGTAGTCAGTGGCTTATGAACCGTAGGACGGTGTGGCTTTATGCTTGGGTCTCGTGTGGCGAGTCTGGGTCAAGGATTGTGGTGTTATAGCGAGAAGAAGTATCAAGTTGAAGGTAAATCATAAGGAACTTAGATAGGTGGGATAGCTTGGCAGTAGGCCGGATCGGCATGGTAAGGATATGATTAGTTCTTTGGGTGTTTACGAGGTAATGAGTTTCTACAGGTGTTTCGCGGCAATGCTCTTAGGTTTTAGTGGCCTGCATAGCTTGGTTTAGTTAGAAGGATTCAGTCCTGACGCTTTAGTTTTGTGCAAAAGGAATTCGGAGAGTTCTTGATGGTTTCTACCACGGTTAGAGATGTATATTTTTTTACAAGCATGAGGAGCATAGGATGTATAGTGATTTTCTTCTAGATGGGATCAATGGAAAGTTCTTGGTTAGTAGAGTATGTAGTTGCTTGTGGCTCGGAATGGATATGAAGTTCTCATGTTTATCCTAGGATGGTATGGTATATGCGGTATGTTGTATAGGATTGAGATTTGCATGTGTAAGATCACGGTTCAATTTTGAAAGGAAGGTCACAAATTCTTAGGTAGCATGGACGGTTTCAGATAACTAGATAAATGAGATCAGTGATTGGTGTGGCTTGATGAGGGTATACATTTTAGAAAGGGCGATGTGTTTGAGTTGAGGATACTTCATTAGTATTGCGACACTCTCTTGTTGGATCAACTATTGATATTCGAGTTTGCTTGGTGGCACAAAAGAATTATAGGAGTACCTCTCGTGGAATGATTTGGGTATTAGGGGTGTGTGGTATATTCAGACGGTGGAGTTGGGATCGGATATGGTGATTCCCGTGTTGTATGGATTTGGAGACTAGGAGTTCTCACAAAAAGGTTAGGACATGGTTGTGGACCGTGTATATTGGTCTTGTATGGTAACTATTGGAGGTTTGGAGACCCGAGTGGATCCTTATTGCTTAGTATGCTAGATTTTGGTGTGATATTGGGTATGGACTGGTTGTCTCCGTATCGTGTTATTCTGAGTTGTTACGCTAGGACGACGACATTGGCTATGCCGGGAATGTCACAGATTGAGTGGCGAGATTCGACGGATTATGTTCCCAGTAGGGTGGTTTCATTTTTTAAGACCCAACAAATGCCTGGAAAGGGTTGTCTTTCTTATTTGGCCTTTGTTATGGATGGCAGTGCAGAGACTCCTACTATTGATTCAGTTCCGATGGTGAGGGATTTTCCGAATGTGTTTCCTGCTGCCGGGCATGTCACCGGACAGGGTTGTTAATTTCGGTATTGATCTGGTGTCGGGCACCGTATCGTATGGCACCGGCGAAGTTAAAGGAGTTGAAGGAACAGCTTCAGGAACTCCTTGATAAGGGATTCATTGGTAGGCCAATATGGATGTGTGTTCTGCATCGAGTCGGCTTGGTTGACTTCGAGTTTTATTGTTGAGGGATATGTTGATTCAATTGTTATTGAGCTTATTAGTGATCTAGGGAGATCTATGAGTTACCTTTCCGTGTTGCGAGGCGTTAGGATTTGTTGGTTATAGGCACATGTAGTGCGGTTTTATTGAGGTCTCTCAGTGGAATTCGAGCGAAAAGAGTATTGGGTATTGCTCGGCGGATGGCGTATCGGTTGTATACTTTCGGGTTTGTGTGATGTTATGTCAATTGCTTCGCCGTAGTTATGATGATTTGCTTTGTTTCTAGACGTCAAATTGCGCGTGGTTATCGATTTTGAGCATAGTGACTTGAGGTGTTTCAGGTGGACCGGTATTTGGATCGGGTCGCGCATTGCAGCGAAGTTATGCGAAGGTATGACCCTTTGGGTTAGATTCGTGTGTTCTTTTTCTACGATGTGTGACGGGTTCTCAGTATTGTGTGTGGTGGTACTGGTGAGCTTATGGTACAACTCTCTCATTTGAGTCATTTTTCATGATTTGAGTACGCTCGGATTGTTGCTTATTGGTGTGCGGATTGCACAAGTTGTGGCTTTAGATCGTATTGATGTGTCATGTCACCAGAGTAGTAGTGTTAGATTAGATGGGATCATTGGGATCTAGAATGAATACAAACAGATTCGGTTTCAGCATGTTGGAAGGATAATATCGATGTTCCGCTCAGAAATTTGCTATGGTCCTTGCCAAAGAAGGAGTGGCTTCACGAATGGTTGATCTGAGGAATGGTTATGACTCTCTTTGTGTTTCATTTATCATTGGTAGTATGTGAAAGTGTTGGAATGAAGCTTTATTTGATAAAAGGTTTATTATCGATATTCGGTTGTTCTAAGCAACTGCTGTGATTAGAACACTACAAAAAAAAACAGCGTTTAGCGACGGAATTTTGCGACAAGAGATATTCCGTAGCTAAATAACGACGGTTTAGTGATGAATTGTAATAGTTTGTCGCCAAATAAGCTACAAAATAATTCGTGTCAAATATAGCAACAGATTAGCGACAAAAACTTATATTCGTCGCTCAAATTGGTGCTAAAAATTAGCGCCTTTATTTTACCTACAAAATTAGTAACGAAATTTGGGCGACAAAATTTATTAAAACTTAGCGGCGAAGTTAACGACAAAAAATCCATCGCTGAATTATTTTACTTATCAATACATTCGAAAGTTAGTTGCGACAAAATATTTTTGTCGCTAATTTTCTAAAATAAAATTTCATTAATTATTATTAGCGACAGAATTTTAGTCCGTCGCTATTTCCGTTGCTAAATTTTCGTCTCCCAAAATAAAATTACCCTAGTTAAAAGACTCCAACCATTAGGGCACAAACACCCCAATTCCTCTCCTCTCTATCAGACTCCCACTTTCACTCTTCTTCAACAAATGTGAGTTTTTTCTTCAAACACCAAAAATTGGGTGTGAATCTTACAACTATTCATTGTCATTTTTCTTGGGTTGAAATTAGAAATGCTTGCTTGAGTCTGTGACGTGCCTGAATCTCCAAATAGAGAAACTGTTTAGGGCTATAATGTCTTTCTCCTTTGCTCTATTAGATGCTTCAATTAGTTCCTCACACGTTTGTCTTTTCTCACAGACATGAAGCTGAAATTTGAAGTCGTGCGTTGATTTTAGGGATTGTATGTCCTTGATAAGATAAGCTTCTTTGTGATTTCATTCATGTATTGTAGATCTGGGCGAGAATCATGTTCATCCTGTCTTGTGCTTTATTTTGGTATTTTATTTTCAAAGTTTCTCCATCTTTATTCCAGATTTTCTCTACTCTTTGTTAATGTTTTTCCCCCTCGGAAAAATTCTGCAGAAATAGCCATGTATGCATGTGATTTTCTTGGTAATTACCAGCTTTATACTTGTTATAATGTTAAAACCCCACACATTGGTTCCTTTAAAAAGAGTTCTTTTTCTCAATCTTGGTCAAACAGGCCAAATGGTTCATCTTATTTTCACAAGTATTCTCAATTTGGAAGAAGCAATTTTGTTATAGTGAAGGCTTCAGATTCATTCAAGAACTACCAGAAAACAAGTAGAGGTAACCCTATTATTTTTGTGCATAAATTGAATTTAAGTTTATTTTTTGTTGGAAATAGAACTGTAATTGTTTACAAAATTGCTTTTTCTGTTTTTTTAGCAGTAATTATGTAAAAAGTTTTGAGCTTTGTGTGAATTTTGCTGTGGGGGTGCTTAGATAACATATGAATTTTATGCATAGTTTGGATTTGAGTTTATCTTTTTGTTAGAATCGAGCTGTAATTGTATAAAATATTTGTGTAAGAATTCATATAATTTTGTGTGTCTGGAACTCGTGGTTTTTTGTGTAAGAATTTTCGTCCACCTGTGTAATAATTGTATAAAATATTTGTGTAAAAATACTGGATTTTCTGGAAGGGCGAAGCGTGATGTTTTTAGATCTATTCTAATACTAAATCACTAACTGAACTCATAGATTTAAAATTACACAAATAGTTAAATACTATTTTTAACTTATGATATATAGTCGAGATAAAAAGAACATTTCTAGAATCATGGGTATTGGACCAATATCATGAAGTTGACATTTCTAGAATCATGGGGTATTAGACCAATTTTCACATGAGTTTCAATTTGCAGAAGGTATGTTGGCCACTTAATCTTTATGACTTCCATGTTTGAATTAACGGTAAGCATTCTTTGCCATAATGTGAAATTATGGAGGAGCTCATTGAAAGCCAATAAAATTACCGGTAATTATCTCAGTGTTAATTGTTAAGTGTTTATTGAGTCTTTGATTTAGAAAGCATATTAACTTTTATATGTAACTTATTAATGTTATTACTTTATAAAATTATTTCAGAAGGCTTTCTACTGGGATTCTTCAATTGATAGTGCGGTGCGGATCCAATGGGAGGCGTAGGGCAGCAAAAAGATATAGTGATTCTGTTAGCAAACTAAAATCAAATGGGGTGCAACCGGACACTATTCCAAATAATATGTGGGAAAGTTGGTTGAGACTTTGGAAAGATCCTAAGTGTATTAAAAAGTTAGAAATAAATGCAAAAAATCGTTGTGGTGGGAGCGGAGTTGCCACTGGACTCACACAGGTGGCTCTGTCAGTGTTGGAGAGCATCGGAAGAGACTTGTAGGTGGATATAAAATATGCTCTATCCTCTACTAGTAATGCTTCAGTGTGATTTCATTTAAATAAATGGAAGGCCAAGGTACTTAGAGAATACTTAAAAGATTAATATTCAGCCTAAGTTTGTGAATTTTGGAAGATTAATATTCACCTGTTTAGAGTTGTCCTACACAGCTGCCTTAGAATGTAATATCTGTGTCATTTTCTCTTGTTTCTCCCCTAAATATTCAAGTTGTTTCTGCTTTGCATACTTCTTAGCATGGTGGAATTATGTAGATTTAGGCTGGACAGATTTGTACTATGGAATTAAAATGGTTAGATCTGAAAAAGGTCATAACTTTGAATAACAAATATGCTTATGGTTTGTTTTTGGAATATATATTGTTCCTCATAAAACATCTGTTGCATAATTCATTCATTTACTTGGAAATTTTTCTGCTCTTGAGTATTCTACAGATAGATATGAAACTTGAAAGCTGAGATTTCCTTTCAGCATTGATGGACTCTAACTTGTTATGTGTGTTGTATAACCTATTGTGCTGCCGTTTGAGTTATGGAAAGCAACTAATGCTTGCGATCCAATTGTGCCTTGCTCGGTAGGGTTGATAGCCCATGCTACCCATCCCTTAAAATCTTGTTTATCTCTATATGCAATTGAAATTTTGTCCTTCCCAAATTTGATTGTCTTCACCTATCCTCTTTGGCCCTCTTCAAAATAGGGGACAAGCTCCAAACTTGGCTTTGGAATTAATACCAATGTCTTCTTTTTTCCTCTCTTTATTTAGGGATTTTCTTGTGAAGAAACAGTTAGAATGGAACATTGTCATTATGGGATTTGATCGATACTTATGTTGTGATATGGAAAATTGTTCGAATTGGTAATGTTTATCAGCGAATATAATAAAGTACTATGTGACAACTTTGACTTACTAAGATTTATTTCCTTTCTTTCTTTTGTATATCACATTTAGTCTCATCACTGAATCTTTATTGCTATTATAGGTTGTGGTTTCTCTTTTCATCTTCTAATATTAACTTGTTTATCAAAATGAAATAAATGTTTCATGGCTCAAGTGGTCAAAATTTTGGTGGGTGAAGTTCGTACTTCATCCATAATGGGAGATAGTCCTAATTAAGCATGTTTACTTTGGAAGAAAGTACTAGAACTATTTAAAAGCATCTTTCTTTTCTATTTGTGGCATAGGAGCTTCTTTTACCACTTCAAGTGTCTTACTTTAGTAATCTATTTTTTTTTCTTTTCTTTTGTGCGTCAATTGTAGTTCCAGTGCAAGTAGGCTTCTAAATATGGAAGTTCTTTGCAAGAATTGAAAGTTTTAGCTCTGTAGAATACTACTCTAACTAGTCACAATCCGATACTAAAGTTACAGACCACAAGCTCTGTGAAAGTTCTTTGCAATTGCATATTTACTGCGTTCATTGCAGTAGTCTTCATCTAACTACTAAATCAGATTACTACTCTAACTAGTCACAATCTGATTCTAATGAATCAGAATCTAGTGAGTTGCATTTGCACGTCCATACACATGGTAATGGTGGAAAATCTTTTGTTGCTGAGAAATCTCGAATCGTACATGTAAGATAACTTTTTAAATAATTTTATTGACTTTACTTTCATATATTTTTTTTTCATTTTGTAAATTGAATGCTATATTTTATTTAGCCTTTTTATTTCACTAACTATTAACTCTACTATAGGAAAAATATCAGGAGATATTACAACAACAACAAACACAAACTCAATCTGATATTGATCAGTGTAAAGCATATTATCAAGCCGTAGGAGGAGAAAAGAAAAGAAGAGTATATGGTCTTGGATCTCAAGCAAAATGCTACTACGGGCCAAATCTTCATGATTCTTTTGGATCGGATGCTACATCGTCAGGAACACCTCCAAATTCTCATCAACACCGACAGGGAATATGGATGAGTTAGTGATGCGATTGATTCCTTCACTGACAGATCATTGTCACGACCCCAACCCCGGTCATGATGGCGCCCAACACACTGCAAGGCAAGCCCGACCATTCAACAGCATTATCACAAATTCTTATTCAGATTATAGATAAATATCACAAAGAATTTACTAAGTCATTTCATTCAAGTGTATAATTAATAATAAAATCTGCAGAAGTTCAATTAAAATACTACACCATAGCCCAACAGAATCCGGTGTCACGAATATGAGCCTCTAATACAGAATATCCATCTATTACAAGTCTATCTAGGAAAAATATGGAATAAAAGATAGAGATAGAGGAGAGAGATCAAGGCTGTGAATGCCATGCAGCTACATCAATACTCCCGGATACTGCCTGCTCAGTTAAACAATTCCTCACTTAGCCTGTGGTGTACCTGGATCTGCACGCAAGGTGCAGGGAGTAATGTGAGTACTCCGACCCAGTGAGTAATAAACATAAATAAAGGCTGAGAATAAGAAATC